ACACACATGTATGTGTCTATTATGTGTGTGTATATATATATATATATATATAACAGTTGCCTTGGCATGTTTCCAGCAATATAGAGCATTATTATAGTGATGTGTGGTAAATATGATTAAATTACCTCCTGGAAAAGCTCCAGACTATAAGTGTTGTCATCATCTGCAAAGAAGACAACACCTGTGGGGTACTCCTGTGGTAAAGTTGACTGGACTGTTGACCTCTGTGGTTGGTACTGCTGTCGTAGCCAAGCTAATCCTGCATTCCTTTGTTCAGTAGCTCGAGGTAAACCAGATCTTTTGTACCTCCGTGGTGTTGGAACATGTAGATGGGTGGCCCTTACACCTGCCCTGGCCAAGAAGCGCCTTACCAAATCTGTTGGCTGAGCAGAGTCCTCTACTACAATCCAGTGTAATCGAGGCACCTGACGGAATGTGTTAGCCAGTCGAGTTAGTTCTGCCTTTTGAACAGGTCGGCTGTATGTGGGGGTGATGGCATATATAATGGGAAGAGAGTCATTCTTCCCCCTGTGATTTTCAAGACTGGTTGGGTGCTCCTGATTAGTTGTCCATGTACCCATACTGGTGTCACTTGGCTGGGGTCGCATCAAAGCTGCACGGCCAATCCTGCGTCTCCAGTACGGAGAGTAGTAGCGGGTGGTGGGTACTCTGCTGGAGCTGGATGGTTTCCTTGTATCAATATCAATAATAATAACAACAATCAATACCCAAGGAAGAAGAATGAAGAAGCGACTATAGAAAACAGACTTCATCCTGGAGTGAAGAAAGGTGATTACAATTCAAGCAAAGAATAAAACTTAAAAATTTCTGAATATATCAGTGCTGAATCCTCGCAAATGTGGAAAGCAGATCACAAAAAATCCTTACAAGATACTAATCAAGCCAGCATCACAGTTTTCCCACAATCTTCTTTTGCAGGTGCATCCTCATTCTGTAATTATATTAAACTACGAAAAACATGTGCTCTATTCCCTTAAATAACAAATATCCCTTTATTTTATCCAGAATTCAAATAAATAGATAGTGCAGAGTACAAATAATGGAGAAATCCCTTTCATCAAAGTACATCCATTTAAATGCTTCAGCTGGTGACCTATCAGTGCCAGGTAATCATTAGAGACCCCTACTGTGACTTCCAGCTCCAAAACATATTGAACCCAATTCAAGTCATGTCAGTAGCTCTAGAAGAACAAATGTTAAGGCATTAGCTCCAATTAATTTCTGAAAATTGAATCATTTATATGGTCTTTGGAGACTAGAGAGTAAAAGCAGCGCAGAATAGGGACAGCTACCAAGTAATATACAAGGATTAGGCATCTAGTAGGTCTTATTCTGCCTCCATAAACTTCTTGTCTTGTTCAGCATCCATGCGCTCCAGACTGTTGATAAATTGGAAAAATACATCTCTCCGTGCCTTGTGTCTTCTAGCAAAGCTTGGACATAGCCAGGATCATCAGGATGTAGGGATTGTATGTGTCTTTCTTCTTATTGCTTGAGCTGTCTGGGAAGCTGTGCAGAGTTGAGCTGTGATTCTCTCAGCAATAAGAACCTAAGCGATGCACTGGCTGTGGCTGAGTTTGATTGCTGCTCACTGCATCCCGCTGCTTCTCCCAACCCCTTTCTTCTTTGTTTCTCTTTCTTTGCAGTCCGATGAGCTGCTGGGTGGGAAAAAGGGAGGAGAAGAATAGAGGGACCCCCTGTGGTTGGCAATGAGAAATGAGATTGAAAAGCTTTTGTAGTGTTTGCGACTTCAGCTGCAGACTTGTGAGCTGCTTTATATGCATGTATAATGTTCTATTTGTATTGCCTTTTCCGCCTGTTTTGCAGTTCCCTAGCTTTAACCTGATCATCCTAAACCACAATACTATACTATACATCATGTCCGTGAGCTGTAAAACTCATGTGGAGGAACAAAAAAAAGATGGGCTTGATGCAGAAGTACTCTGTCAAGCGCTGCAGAGGAAATGTAAACAACACAAGGACATTTGTCACACATCCATTCAATTTGCAAAAATCTTTAGAGGTGTGTTCATTAAAAAAATCTTTAAAGCGTATCTAAACCCTAAATCAAACTCTAATATATTACAGCCTGCCAGTCTTTAGATGCAGCAGATTAATTTGCCTTTTTCATGTGTTTTTCCCAAATTTTACCCTGTCGATCCTGCCAGTAACATACTTCTTGTCCTAGGGCGACAACACTTACTCTTTGTATTGTATTTATGGAAGAGGAGTGTTGTCACCCTAGGCTGCTCTCTTGATGTGGACTACAAACTTCTTAATCTCCCGTCCTCTCTCATTACATAGGGAAAAGGAATATTTATAATTTTAAGAAAATATCTTGGAAGGAAGATCACATTGAGATTGACAAGGATACTGCATTTCTGGCTAGATAAACAGGTATTTTTTGTAGCGGCATTAAAAGTACTTTGAATGCCGGCAGCCACAACATCTAGGGACTGATAAGCTGCAATATATTCAATTTTTTTAAACTTGGGTTTAGATATGTTTTACAATCCTTAGTTACCTATTTTTGTAAATTACACTTACTAGGGAAGGCATAGCAATGGCTAAAGAAATACCACTGCTTTGCGTTCACTTGTTATGACCAGTTGGATTAGACAAACTGGAAGTACTACATGGGTGTTTTTTGGCAGCATAATCATTTCCAAATGCAAATGGAGAAATCAAAAGTACCATGTCAAGACACATGGGGTCTCAAACACAGCAAGAGTTGAATTAAAAATACTAACAATCATTTACAAAGCCATCTACAACTCTGCCCCCACCTATATCTCCAACACTGTCTCAAAGTATCACCCTAACCATCCCCTCCATTCTTCCCAAGACCCCCTGCTCTCTAGCTCCCTCATCAACTCCCACGCTCGCCTCCAGGGCTTCTCTGGAGTCTCTCACATCCCTTGGAACTCCTTACCCCAACCTGTCCATCTACCTCATACTCTGACTGCCTTTAGGCAATCCCTAAAGATTCTATCCCACCTCAACCTAACCACTACACTATAACTTTCCCAAACAATTCATCCCCACACAGCTACCACCTCTTGTATCACTTGCCCCTCCTTTTTAGATTGTAAATTGGCAGGGCCCTCCATTCCATCTTGTCTTGACTTGTATTGTAACTGTAATGTCTTCGTTATATTGTAAAGCGCTGCACAAATTGTTTGTGCTATGTAAATCCTGCATAATAATAACAATAATAATAATAATAATACAATGTTTATAGAGTATTTAATACACAGACCTATATAGAAATTGTGGTATAAAGAAAACATTTTTGCTTTATCAATCGTCCTTTTAATATATTTTATTTATCCTACTTTGGAAAAACTAACAGTTAATAAATTAAGGTATATTATCATTATGGGTAATATTTTAATATGTATAAGTTAGATAATTATTATATTATCATTTATGCTTTGTTGGAACTCTTTTTAATGTTAAAATGTCACTTCAGGAAAACCAAAAGCTGCCAACCGGTACCTACCCTGGCTTTCAGTACCCTCATTTTTTCCCAGCTTGAATCCTAGTCTCAGGACATGGCCTCAAGGCTGCCGTTCCACCCTGCTCCTGGCAACCAGTGACGTCAATGATGTCTGTATTCTGCAGATTCATCACTTTAATAAAGAATCTGCAGCATCACTGTATCCCGCACCAAGCCCCACCCCTAATCTGTTTCACCCTATCCTTAGCTTAGTCATAGAAGTATGACTAAGCTCAGGACTGGGTGAAACACATCAGAGGGTCAGAGGTTGGGTTGGACACAGTGATGTTGCAGATTCTTCATTAAAGTGTTCCAGCATTATACAGTATGCTGCTGGTGTTTTCCTCATTGGCACATGTCACACATGGCATTGCCCAGTTCACCATGTTTATTTGACAATAATTTGCCTTTAAGCCTTGAAAATGGACTATCTTTCAAATTCCCTTAAATAATTTTTGCTTCCCCTCAGACTTCAGTAGGGTTCAGATTACAGTTCACAATTCTAAGACTTTCAATGGGTTTGATGAGCTCCCCCAAAAACAAACCCAGGCACATGTGCTCATTCCTATTTCATAGGTATGTGCAGGAGGCAGGAAGGGGCAGGCAACTTTCAGAACTATCAGGAAGATGAGAATCGCCTGGCACTTGAGTGGAGCAGTGGGTATGAAACGTTTCTTCAGGTATGTGCAGGCACTTCTGCTTGCCTGCACTTCACATTTGCCTGCATATTTTGGTTTTAGATTTCTTAACATTACAACAATTTTATTATTTTTATTTTATTAGTATTATTACAACTTAGTTATTATCACTGACATCATTGTTGTATTGAAATATAGACAATCATATAGTAAAAGATATACAAGGGGGAGTGAGAGGTAAATAGGTGGCACGGCACCCCTATATGATTAGAACAAAAACACCTTAACAAAAACTGGGGCTTTTTAGGTGCCACAAATTGTACATATTCATGTTATTCATAAAAAAACATATTTTATTAATACATGTTTAAAAAATTGATAAAATCTCTGTTGCCACTTCAAATACCTGAAAAATCGTAATTCAAATACCGGTAAATAAATACTTCAAAGCATGGGACAGGAATAATGACATATACATATCTTGACCAAATCCTTCTTAATTAAACAGATCATGTATAACAGTAGGTTTAACGCATTTCGTGAGTATGCTTCTTCGGGAGCTTTAATAAAGATCTATAATTCAATAAATCACAGATTACACATGTCATAAAACACTACATAATACAATCTATTGCATAGTGAAATCTTCCCTCTTATTGCATATAAGTCAAAATATATAAATACTGAGTTTACCCCAACTTGTTATACAGCCTGTGAGCGACCACCAGCAGCATCCGGGATGTCCACAGAAAGAGTGTCCTTGAGCTGCATAGAGTTTAGTGAAGGGTGACAAAATAACATGGGTTGAACTCGATGGACCTGTGTCTTTATTCAACTTTAACAACTATATGTCATGAAAGCTCCGAGACCTTATCACTTTAACAAAAAACAAAAGTTGCAGGAGGTGTAAAGATCAGACAACAGATAAGTGTGAACAGGCCCTGATACCATAACTGTCTACCTTCCTTTGCTATTTTCAATTGCTGTCTATTTTTTTCTGTTTTAGTGAGTGCCATGGATACGATTCTTTCAAAATTATTTTCTAAATGTTGATCAGCACTAAGTACTTTACCATGACAAAATCAGACCATGTTTATAATTATACCAATCAAGATCACCTTGCAAGAACCGTGATTGTTTTCTGCCTCATCTACCAGGAATATGTGCGCAACGGTAAGTTTTATATCTACAGTAATACCCTAAACTCTTACATGTAAGAAAAAGAATGATATATAAATCAGTGACTAAGCAGAGCCTTAATTAGACCTATGCATTTGCCTGTTACAGGAATGTACAATAGCTGTGCTAGTTACTGGAATAAGAAGCATGACTACTTCAATCACCCTGACAAGTAATAATAAAAGTGCTTAGGATTTCACAGTTACTGAAAGAGTTGCCATGTTAAGCTAGCCATATACCGTTTGAATTTTGAAAAATGTTCAACGAAGCATTCAGTGATGCCACCATTAATTCAACTAATTTAATTTGAAAGCCCTTAAAAATTTCTTCCAGACTTGCTACTTGAATGGAATCACAGACGTAAAAAAGCATTTTTTTTATTGCTTATAAAATCAACGATGAAATAACGCAAAGCAAGGTTTATTTTAATGTATACGTTTATTGAATATTTAGAAGTATATTCACAGTGGCTTCACTATGTCACATACTTTTTTTGGCCGGGAAGCCAGCTGCATGCTGAATAGCTTGGAAGCTGGCTTCCCGGCCAATCAGCATCAATCCGACCAAACAGCATGAAGCCGGCTTCCCAGGCAATCATGAAGCCGGGCGGCAGGTAATGACACACTGGCCGGCTTCCGAGGAAAACAATTCCATGCTAGCGGAAGTACCGGTATTGGTACTCAGCATCAGCGAGTACCAAAATATAAATATAGGTACTCGTACTCGATACCGAAAAAACGGTATCGGTGCATCTCTACTGTGGAATGACCTCAAGAGAGCCATTCACACCAGACATCCTACAAATGTGTCTTAGCCAAATCAGTTTTGGACAGAGGAATGGCCAAAATTTCCTCCTGAACATTGTGCAGGTATGACCCAGAGCTACTGGAATCACTCCAAGGGTTCACTTACTTTTTCCTCCAGCACTGTGAATGTTTAAATCACACCCTGTTCAATAAAGACATGAGAAATTAGAATTGTTTGTTTGTTATCAGCTTAAGCACATGTCTATTGTTGTGACTTTGATGAGGATCAGATCACATGTTATGGCAATTACTGCAGAAAACTAGTTAATTCCAAGGGGTTCACATACTTTTTTCCCCACTGTACATATGCATTCTGTTTATCTGGCAATGAGGTTGTAATGGCTATGATAGACAGATAGATAGATAGATAGATAGATAGATAGATAGATAGATAGATAGATAGATAGATAGATAGATAGATAGATCCACAGAGATACACACGCATACACATTCAGATCTACTTATATATCCAATTCTGCATTCACATTACAGAAACTTTTTTGTTTTAGTTGTTATTTATT